AATTTTATTTGCATAGTGTTGTTGTTAGGTGCCATGGGTCAATTCCAACCCACAGCAACCCCATGCATCACAGAACCAAACACTACCCGGCCTGAGCCCTCTTCATCATGCTTATGTATTGGTGAAATAAGGAAGGCTATACAATGACTTCCAAACAAGTATCCTGAACACTTTACTGACCATATTCTTTATTCTGTTTTGTGTCCAAGGTTGTATAGAACGGGCTCATATCTGCCAGCCAAGCACACATGGAGAAAGTTTAATTTAGGATATTCCTTGTGTCTCGTTGCACATTAATACAGAGAGGAGTAATGATGAGCCAGTTTCTCCTTCCCTTTACCCAGAAGCCTCTGCCAGGGAAATGGGTTGGGGCAGAAAAAGGAAAGCAGTGGTGAGTGCCAGGTGTTACCAGAGTAGAATTTACTCTTCTCTCCATCTCTTTCCTCTGCCAGTGCAGACAGTTGCACTGGGCACATAGTCCAGGAGACTGGGCGAGAAATCTAGACCATACTAGTCAGGGTGTGGCAAAGAGTTGAGAATGGAATTGGAACTGCATGGCCCTGACTGGAGGAGTCAGTGACAGAGTTCATACATCCATACAACAAAGATAATTATGTACTTTTTAATATATGGGGCTGGGGATGTAATTTACCTTCCATTATAATACTAGTTCCAGCTCATTAGCTGTACTGACTAAAAAAGTGTAAAATTCAACAGGATTACATTTCAGGTTGCTTACCTCATTCAGTTTAATGTGTATAATGAGAGCTTCAAAAAGTTCATGGAAAAAAATGAGTGAAAAGGCAATTCCCTATATCATAAACTTTTTTCAGGCCCCTCATTTAGTTGTTGTTTTTATCACACTGAAACCAAAATCCAACTCCTGGCTCTCAAACTCCTATGTTATCTAACCTTTCCATGGCCCCCTACCATTCGTACAGACTGTGACCCAGCCAACACATACACAAAGCGCGCTCTCACGCATGCCAGCAAGGTTTTTCCTATATTGTAGCTTTCCTTCTGTAGCTGCTGCTTCCTGGCTTTCTCTCCCCCTGTCCTTTCAGTGAATAACTCTTTCATGCTCTTCAAATTGGAGCTCAAAGTCACCCTGTCCAAAAGAACCTTCCAATAGCAATTACTCGGCCACATCACCCTATGTATTGTCCTCGTAACACTGCAGCAGCTGTAGCCCCAGCTCGTAGGACAGAGGCTGGCTCCATTATCAATTGTCAATAAGTATTTACTGTTGAATACCTGAAGCTCTGTCCTGAATCCTTGTAACATTGGTTTCTTGTGTTTCAATTAACAGAACCGGGAAGTCAGCCCCTCCGGAGTGAACTCCAGTAACGATGGCAGCGCTGGAGAGTTGTTGGGGACGAATTTACCGTTAGTATCAAATTCTGTAGTAATAATCATAAACCTTGATACAGTTCTGAAAGGAAGTTTGCATTATGTTGAATTACATTTGGAGTCTACTGTGCTTATTGACAAAATATGGAAGAACATTTCATAAATTGAAAGTCTATTACAAATAACCAACCTAAAGCTTCTTTTTTCTTTTTTCCTCTTATTTCTTACTGGCCAGGAATTAAAAAGTCTTGTCCAAAAAGTTCAAACATAATAGTATTCTTCTCTATCGTGTTCTCAGTCTAAGAATTTGGTTATTCAAACGTTTTTTTTCTTGCCAGTGTTACAAATCGTCTGGGTACAAAATAAGTATTATAAAACAATGTTTAACATAGCTATTACACTATTTTGCTGGATCCGTTTATTTTAAATACAGTCAGACTCCCTAAAACTCATATCCTCATCTTCTCTTGAATGAAATCTATTTTATCCGTTTATGTTTTATTGGTATACTTATACATGGCAAAATGCAATTTGGTTACTTTGACTAACGAACACCCTTGAAAGCAGAGCCTCAGGATCGAAGGGCATTACCATCACTCCAGCCCAGGGCTTCCCAGTCTTGGCACGTGATTTTCTGTTACGGAGGCACCCGATGTATGGTGGGATGGTTAGCGTCATTCTTAGCCTCTACTCACTAGATGCCAGTAGCAACCCCTCTTTTTTCACAACCATAAAATATCTTCCGGGCCACCTAATTGTCCTTAGTGAGAAGCACCTGGACATGTCCCTCCTGTCCTTTTGCAGTCTGTCAGCTCTTCTCACGGACGTAACCACAAATGTGCTTTCTACTCCCGCTGATTTATTTTCATCCTGAATCGATTCAAATGATTGAATTTTTCCCCAACAGTTTTATTGGCATATAATTCACATATCATACAATTTAATAGTTCCATCACATCGAGAGGAGATGTACAATCATCACCACAAAAATGATTGAATTTTAGGGTTTCCAAAGTAGTTCAGAGGTGGCTACCATAGCTCTGTTACCTGGAACGCTTTTTTATTTTGATGTCTGTAGGGGAGTCTCTCCAGAGAGTAAAGATTGAACTTTCCATTGCATTGAAGCTACCTGTAGAGTATGAAAGCAGAAAGAAATTTTCTAATCCAATGAACCAAAGAAGGTTTTAAAGAAAAGGGAGTGGTAAACGAGTTCATCAGCATTGCAACCGCAGCACCATGAACATGTGCCACTGCCAGCACATCACAGTTCTGATCTTGATTGAAGCAGGCTCCTAACGATAGAGGATCAAGTGGCTTCTCTGAAAACATCTGATAAGTTCGTTTTGATTGGTTGTCTCTGCAGTCAAAAAAGTTCTGGCATGTTTTCAGGAGGAGCTGTCCAACTTGAACAGCTTGGTCCATAAACTTCCAGTAGACGTTGATTCTCAGTCAAAACAAACCAGCTTCTATGTAATTAGATGGTTTCTGGTTCCTTTGATACAGAACAGATGTACTAATTTGGAGTGGAATTATGAAACAATACTAAAAATAAAAAGCCTTTAACTTAGGAAAATATCAAATTTGTTTTTCTTGCATGCTTTTTTGATCAATGTCTTTTATTTACTTTTTTTTTTTTTCATTGATATTTTCTAAGACAAATGCCTCCTCAGGAAGCTGACCTTCCAGAACAAGGAGAATCATTCCAAATAAAAGGTAATTCAAGTGAGAATATAAAGTATTATTAAGGGCAACAGGTCTTTACAAATAACACGATTTAAATTACTTGGGATTTTTTTGTTTTGTTTTTGTTTTAAGATTTTAAATCTGCTCGGAGAAAGCCATTTTATTTCACACAGAATAATAGAATTTAAAATGTATATGTTTGCTGTGCCCTAACTCCGCAGATCCTCGGCCATAGCTCAAGCGACAGTTTACCCAGCCTTGCATGTTTGGCAGGCTCTGCACTCGGCATGTTACATACAGCAAGCTCGAAATACAGCTCCTGTCAATCTCATTGTATTTAGACCCAAAGAAAATATATCTGAGGAGCCCAGCTGGTACAACTTATGGTTTCAATCCAAATTGAACTCCCAAACTCTGCTCTTCCTGTTAGAAATCGATGTGCCAACTTAGGCATCACTTGCCTTCACGTGATCTAAGCTTTGAAGGAGGGTGGTGTTTGAGGATGGGTAACCAGATGTATGTGCTCGCTTTTCCTAAGCATAGGGATTATATTTCTCACCTGAAAGGCTTTCCAACTATTTACATCTTACTCATTTTTCAAACAATAACTTAGATCCCTCTTTATCTGTCCGTCTTTAGGATAAGAAGTTCTCTGAACCTATAATCACAGATACATACAGACTACTCATTTGGAAGTTACTCGTTTGATTTTCTTCATACAGATAAAGTTTATGATTCCAGTGAGATTCTAAGCATTCTCTTATTACCCACAGAACCTAGTAATGGAATAGCCAAATAAAATACATGGTAGATTTTACTGAGGACTAAGTTAGGGGTTTCAATTCAATTGTTCATTTTTTAAACAAACCCCAAGTTAGAATTTTTTTTTAAATTATTACATGAGTCTTTCACTAGTCAGATGTAAGTCATCAGTTGATCGTTGCCAAGTAAATTAAATGTTAATGTTCAAGTTTGAAGCTTTTTATTTACTTAAGTAAATGTCAGAGAAATATTGATGACTTCCTTTTTAGGCACTGTATTTTAATGTGATTAATATTAGGCTAAGATTCTTGTGATTAAAATTTCCATAAAGTGAAAATATTTTTCTTTATTTTTTAAATTCTCAGAGCAGATCCCTCCTGTTGCTCATGAAAGGCTAAGATTTGATTTGGATTCACCTGGAGCTAAGTTTCCTAATGATGCCTTACCTAAAACTGTATCTCTCCGTCAAGGTTTAAAGAAGCATTTTAACAATATACATGAATTAGATACATTTGGTGGCTCTGAAGCCAGTCATTTGACAGAACTTTTTGAATTAGAAAGAATGACATTTGCAGACCCAATGTTAAACATGCACATACCTGAAGATGTAAAGCAAGATGTTTGTCCGTGGGACAAGGACCAAATCAACTTATCTCCAAAGCTGACTCACCCAGGAAGTCTTACTAAAACAAATGAAGTCATTTTAGAGGCTAAATCTGAACAAACGAAAGCTAAGAATAGAAATGCACAAAGAAGAAAAAGAGAAGAGAATAGAAAAGCTGGAAGAAAATTTAAGGCTGTGACAAGATGTAAAGGGAGCAAAAGTGAAAATAAGAAAACTGCTTCCCAAAAAAAATTGGACAAATCTGTCTGTTCCAATGATGCTTATAATTTTAATCTGGAAGAAGGTGTTCATCTAACTCCTTTCCGGCAAAATGCAACAAGCAGTGATTCTACAGGTAAAGAAAGCAACAGTGAGTCTGACGGGATCGACAGTGAATCCAGTGACTCAGGAGAGGATTCGGATGACTTCTATTTGCCTTCCAAAAACGTTTGCAAGGACATTCAAAATCTCAACACCAGACCAGGTAGGAGCCCAAGCACCAGGCCTCGATCTAAAAGAACATTAAAAGATACGGATGAAAAAGAGATGGAGGATTCCAAGCCAATCCACACTCCTACCAGTGAGTGATCATTTGTCTGTATGCATTTTTAATGTTTATGATAAATGATTGTTCCTGATGCTTATATACCATACTGTACTCGCCATCTGTCTCTAGGGGAAGTTAGAGATTTACCATCTGTCTGACTTTGGGGGAAGTTAACAGACTCATCAAACAGTGGAAGGCTGAGGGTGGAAATCACAGTTGTGTTGTTCTGACCTACTTCAAGTTAAATCCTCTTTAACAACAAATACTTCCTCTTTAACAGCAAATACTAGAGTTGAAAGCATTTTTATTTCCAAGAAATGAGTCCCTCAAAGGAGGTCGGGACTTGTTAAGCATTAAATGGAGTTAAGTTATCTTTATACATATATTCCTTTGAACCCTCCCCATGAAAATGAAATAAAAATTGAATCTGTTTATTGGGTGCCATTAAGATATTTTCCATTCACAGCAACAGATTGTGATAGAGTAGAACTGACCCATCGTTTTCTAGGTTATTTATGAGAGAAGTCGTCTGGATCCTGTTGATGAAGCTGGCCTCGAGGTCGACAGTTCAAACCCAGCAGCCGTTCCTTGGGAGGCTAACTGCTTTCATAAAGATTTACCACCTTGGAAATCTTATATAAGTTTGCTTATGAGTCAGAACCGACTATGCTAGTGAGTTTGGTTAGTTTCTTAACCCTTACCGGAGCCGATCACCAGTTCTTGCTCCCTCTGAGCCACTCGGTGGGTTAGAATCACCAGCCTTTGGTTAGCAGCCCAGTGCATAGCCATTGCAACATGAGGGTGCCTTGTGGGATGAAATCCTGGACTTTATGATTTTCTGTTACATAGTTGAGTACAACTTTCATTCTTGTGACTGTTTTGAAACCATATTCATTAAAGGATATTTTAATAGGTGCTCCACCTGAAAATCAGCCATCACCTCATCTTGGTCTGAAGGATATTACCAATGTGTCCTTGAGTCCTGTAATTAGAATCAGAAAACTTTCTCTGTCTCCAAAAAAGAATCCGGGAAGCCCAGCAGCACTGTCTGTGCCTAAACGCCGGTGCACTGTCAGCGTGAACTACAAGGAGCCCACACTCTCTTCGTAAGTATTTGATTTGTGGGACTTCGATTTTAGTGCTACATTTGGGGAGAATAAGATTACATGGCTTTGTTCAAGAATGAATCTTACTTGAAAGTGAAGCTTGATAAAATCAAATTGAAAATGCTAACATGGGCATGTTATACAATAATTTTATATCGAATGTTAAGATACTTATAATTAAACTTAAGATCTCTTTCTACCCTTACAGAAAACTAAGAAGGGGGGACCGTTTTACAGATTTGTGTTTCTTGAATTCTCCCGTTTTCAAGCAAAAAAAGGACTCTCGACGCAGTAGTAAGAGGAAAAAGTAATCAGCAACTGTACTGGAACGTTGGCTCGGTGCCGTGAAAGTTATCCTATACCTCCCTCTGGTGCTTGTGAGAGGCTGTGTTGGGGGTTGGGGGTCAAAGTATTGCCGTAGACTGGCCCCCTGATCATGAACTTCTTTTCAAAACTGTACTTAGAATGTAATAAATGTAGTTAGTTTTTTCTTTGTGCTTTTAAAGATACGTAAATGGGTTTAACGACTGTAATAGTGTAGATTTCTTATACTACCTAAAATCTTTCATTTTAACCCCAATGTGTATTACTGAAAATAATGATGATTAAATTAAGACGTTTTCATTGTAAGTCTTTGGCATCCTTCGTCTCTCCCTTCAATGAGGGATCCTAGAGTGAATGAATGGTGAAGACGAGTTGCCGATCTTTGAAATCCTTTATACTTCGGTAAACTAAAGCTTTACGGTGACAGGAGGGTTCACCTACGTCGTTCATGGATCCCTTGTTGCACTGTATTTACTCTGTCCGCCGGAATGTCCGCGCTCACGATTAGCGAGCTTGTGGTTAGTGACGGGCTCAGGCACCACTCGGTACACTAACTCAAAAGCCCCAGCATTCAAAGTGCTGCCTCAACAAAATCACGTGCACGGGCTTTCAGAGCAGCTCCTCCTTTAGTCAGAAACGTCAAATTCATTAAAGGATATTTAATGAATATTGTGAAAATATCAAGGGCTTTTCGTATTTGCACTTTTTAAAGTTTATGATGAACGAGTGAGAGGCAATTAGTTAATTTGTTTCTTTAAACTTTTAAAGCATGATAGTTCCTCCATTTTGAATGACCAATAAAGTTTCCTGTTCCATTAGGTTTGTGTTTTCCTTTGGTTCTTCACATACCAAAGATAGACTGGATGTCTTACCTTCTAATTGCCACTGTCCTCTTCCTCCTTAGTCGTGTCTGCTGTGTTTCCCTGGGGCTCTCTGTGGTCATGGCCATGAAATGCTTAGCTTCCCGTCCACTCTCCCAACCGAACACTTCTTTCTTTCAAACTGTGAACAACAGAGTCTCATTTTATTTTTAGCAGTTTTATTGACATAAAATTCATGTATTGTACAAGTCTGTACATGAGAGAACTGTGTATTCATTGCCACAGTCAATTTTAGATTGTTTCTTCATTGTCAAATTCTAATTTTTGCTGCCAATTTTTTTACTATGTCTTTATCCTCCTGCATTCCCCATCTTACTCATATCTATCCAAAATCTTTCATCAGTTAAAATTGTTCAGTTTCCTAAATCATTGATTCGTACATCTTATTATCCAAGCACAGGCTCTTGTTGAACGACTACATTATTTATTTATTTTGGATCACGTAAACTCTAGAGTGGCTATCTTAAATTACATAAAATTTTAAACCCAATTCCTCAGTCACAGTAACCACATTTCAAGTGCTCAGTAACCAATCACATGTGGCTAAACCCACTGCCATCACGTCAATTCTGCCTCCTGGTCACCCTGTAGGACAGAGTAGAACTTCACTCCCAAGCTTTGTGAAACTAAACACGGCAGCAGAGAGCTCCTCTTCCCACAGCCACTGGTGGCTTTGAGCTGCCGCTGGCCACGCTTGTGCCACCAGGGCACCAAGAACCTACATGGTAGCCACAAGTTTGCATTTTGGTTTATGAAACAAAATAATTACTTTCTGGCCCTCCACAGAAAAAGTGTACCATTTGTTGTTCTAGACCACTGACTGCTTTTGCTTTGTAGATTATTCTTTCTTGATACTTTCTTGGCAACTTTGAGCCTCATCTTTTTGTTCTCAAAGTCAACCATTATCCTAAAATTAGTGTTAATGTTTCTGTATATTGTTTTTGTATCTGTCATGTCCACAAAATGTTAAGTATTACTTTATATTTTAACATTTTATATCATGTCACATTGTACATACCTTGTAGTGGCAGACTTTTAACATTATTTTTTAGAGATATATATGTGTATATATCGGTTGATGTAGATTATTTTCATTGTTGTATATTTTGCAAATAAACCAGAACAAATCAATTCGTCTTTTTTGTTTAAATGGTTTTATTGGAATATATTTCACACATCATACAATTTAGTTGTTCATTCATCAATTTGTTTTTTAAGAGAGTTTGTTTTCAACTTTTTCATTATTACAAATCAGTGCTACAGTGAACAGTATGCTTTTGTGTAGGTGCATGTGTTAGTCTTGGTAGACCAGAGAAATATTAATAAGACACTCAAAAAGAGTTTTATGTACAAGAGCAATTCAGTATTGAGAAAACAGCCAGCCCAGTCCAGAACAAGTCTGTAAGCCCAGTATTAGCTTATATGTCCAATGCCAATCTCTAAATTCCTCTTCAGACTCATGAAACACGTGCAATGATGCCAAATGCAAGAAGATCACAGGCCAGTGGGTGGAAAGTCTTGTGGATCCAGTGG